GTTCCGAAGCTCCTTATTTGTACCTGCAAAGTAGCAATCTGCACAAACGTAGTTAAGTGTCCAAGTGCTCTGTGTCCAGGGCCACCCACACTTTGTCTGTGGGCAGAAATGCTCTCTCCGTAGGTGGAAACATGTGTTTTCCAAGTACGTGTTCTTTTGTTTCTCTCTTCCCCCTCCCCCAAGAGTGACATGTACCTCTGCATTTTCCCTCAGTGTAGGATGTGTGGGACCATACTTGTTTTACAGTTCTCTTGTGTGTTGGCTTATCAAATCCTCAGCTTGTACAAACTGGCGTAATTCCACTGAATGTTGACTCCAAAACCAGCAGAGAATCTGAATTTATGTTAGCAGACCACGATCCATGTGAACTTCTGGAACAATGTACTGGAATTGTTTTGGGGATGTACAGAGATCTTCCTGGAGAGTCTGTAGAGGCTTCCTTTAAGATATGCTGTAGGCCACAGCTGGCTGCTGTCTTTGTCTTTTTATTTTTTTTTTTTCTTTTCTGGTGTCTTCTACAATTACATCATGAATGCCTCTTGAAGTTCTTCTAGTTTTGTTATCCCTCCAGTAGTTTGTGGCCTCCCTGAAGCGGTGTCCCCTGTCCCTGTCTGTAGGAGAGCACACGTTCACTTCATCATATCTGTCAGTCTGGGAACCAGCAGCATGTTGATACTGAGCGAGCTGGATGGCATTTAAATGTAAATCCATTGTCATGAACTCAGGGCTTATCGTGGCTCATTATTTCGAGGCAAACACAGTAATCAGCTCAGGTTGTACTTTATGAGAATTAGCAATGTTTTACACATCAGATGGTGATGCTGACTTTTTGAGGGCAACCACCTGGACTCAACTCTTGCTAGCTAAAACTAATATTTTTATGTTTCTTTTTGTTTCGGAGTTTCAAAATGCCTGTGATAAAGCACTTTAATTACTGTTTAATTACTAAATAATAGATCTATGCAATCAATTAGTTAATAGCATGATTATTGGGATAACTTGCAGGTACCCATAGATGATCCTGTAGTTTAGATACATAGTTTATGTATATTGGTAGTTTATCTTGAGTGCAAGGTGAAACTTCCACTATCCTGATGGCCACATGCATATTAGTTTCCAGCTATTTCTCTTCTTTACCTACCCTGGTATCTGAGCCTTCTGAACACTGTTATCATAGATTTGTGGTATCTGGTCCATTTTAGACTTGTTTTTCATCCTAAAGACCTAGCATGACATTTCTAATAGGAAAAATAATGATTATTAGAAAAAAAACACCCACAAACACCAAACAAAACATAACCCAGCAACTTATATCATCAGGTCTCATGACGGTCTATTTTCGAGCTTGTTAAAGTGGATTTGTAAAAACATCACAGCTTTTAAGGCTAACAGCTGTACCTCATGAAGTAAAATTAGGAAAAATCAGAATACATTTCATGGACACAAAGTTTCTGTTCTAATTCATGGCTTATGTGGATTAGAGTTTCAGCACCCAAAGCTTTCCTGAAATTTTTGGTATCAGTTCATATCCAAACATAGGAGGAGACAATATTTTTGTTTCTGATGGCACTGTGAAGGCAGTCTCATAAAGAGAAAAGGTAGAAAATGGGCATTTCCGTCAGTTTTTCTAAGAACCCTGTCTGGAAGCTGTGCAACTTGAACACTTGCCCTGTTTCATCCTCAGATCAATAATTCCTGAACTCCAACATAAACTTTCCCTTACATTTGTCAGATGTATTTGTGTTCAGTTTGTGATTGCTGGTTGTTATGAAGTGAAGGCTCTAACATGGTAATGCAAAATCCTGAGCTTGTAAACATATTTTGGGTGCAGGCAGCAGGAAGAGCAGTAAATCATTATGCTTCTATTGCCTCTTTTGCAGCTTGTACTCTTAAAATGAAAATAATGGGAGGGGAAATCAAGTACAATGGCAAGTTTAAGTATTGGGGTTTTTTTGTTAAATCATGATAGCCTTCTGCTTGTATTCAAAGTACTACTACATGCTACTGTATAATTTTTGCCATTAAGTTTCAAAACATTAATGATGTTTCTGGAGGAGGGATGAGCTATATTTTGAAAAAAATATAAATCTCTAAGTTCAAGAAATTGCAAGTGTTGCATTTCAAGGGGATGACGTAATCTGTTTTAAACTAGGAAAGAATTTGTGGACACTGTATCTATGGAATAATGTTAGATAAATTTAAATGTGTTAACTCTGTGGTGCCATTACAAATGCTATTTTTGGCTGAAAAGGAGCAGTGATTGCTTGTAAAATAAAGAGGCATCAGATTATTTCAGCTAGCCTTGGCTGGGCTCTTTGGAATGTGGTCTGCATTTCTGGCCCTCACACTTAAGGAGAATGCACAGGAAGGAAAAAATGTAAAGTTAAAATAAAATTATAAAAACCTAAATAAAAGAAAGGGCAAGATGTAAACATTATTTTGTAATGGGTGTCACGAAGCAAAAAAAAAAAATCATTGGTTTCCATTGTAACTCTGGAAAGTAACAAAGCTATACATTAAGAGGAAAAAAAAAAAGTGGTCAGCAAGAAAAACATGGTATTTACATGAGAAAAAAGTCAGGATTGCAGATCATTCTCTTGTTCCTGAAAATACATCATTGGAGTCCAGTTGTCTAGATACTGCTTCCATTTCAATTATAAACTACTTCTATATTTAACTCTTTCATTTACAGTGTCACTTCACCATCTGTAAAGTAAGAGATGTTAGTGTGGTGGTGTCAGCTGTGCCAAAAAGCAAGTCTATCATATTCATCCTGCCATGGTTCTGAATATCACAGATTATTTCTATCACAGGAATTCTCTGACTTGTAGTTTTACAGATATAACCAGGTGTCTGCCTGTACTTGCTAAACAGAAGTTATAGTCTTAATGCAGAAGCTGTTGAATTAGATGTTTTTATCCATCTGATGCCAGAAGAAAGGGAAAAGAAAGTACTTGGAGATGGTTAAAAAAACCTATCAACTCCAAACCTTATACCAAACCCTTAGTACCACCTCTGCTGCCTTCAAGCACAGTGATGTGTACACTTGGGAACAGCAGCTGATCTCTCGTGTATGGGAAGCACATTCCTTCTCCTCTCCCTGCACTGCTGGAAAACCAGTGCTCCTATTATGTCAAGGTCCATCGCGTTTGCTGCAACTTTGATGTGCTTGACCTAAAAATATTGCTGGGAGTGAATTATTTACAGTGACACCGAGGAGCAATTTTCTAGAATGTTTCCATGGCCTGTGGGCATTGTGCTGAGTACATATGTGTCATATTAACAAAAACCAGGAAAATTACCACAAAAGCTTCCCACAGTATTTCACAGCAGTCGTTACCAAGCTGTGATTGTTCTGTGGCTTTACAGCATGAGGAATGATGAGTGCAAGCCAAAATCTCTTGTGGGGTGTGGAATAAGGGTATTGCTTTCCAGTGAACATTATTAAATAACTAGTGTGTAGAGGTTGACTTTAGGTTGTGTGAAATATTATATATCTGTACATTAAGACATTTTTCTATTTCTATATGAAAACATGATGTAACTAAAAGCTCTGATAAATTTAATGCTTGGCACCATTAAAAAAGACCACTGTTGCAGAATCTCCTCTTCAGAAACCAGTAAAAACTTGTGGTCCAGGTGGAAATATTTGTTTTATATTTGTAATGGGTATGGACTGATTATTTGTGCCTAGGTCCATGCTGGCTTAGGTTTCTGCACCCTATTCTAGTAGGGTGTGAATCATTTATCTTCAATTAGTAAGTCTATGGAAAAAAAATGCTAAAAATCAGAGGAAATATGTATTTTGAGAAAAAGTACTACCTTAGAAAAGGATATAACTTTATCTGGTTCTTGTTGTTGTTGTTGTTTTTTTGGGTTTTTTTGCATTAGAGTCTGTCTCTCCTTAATGCTAATCATCCAGACGTTATCAGTACAGAAAACATGTACAGAAACCACTCACGTTCCAGGACACTGTTTTTTTCCAGTGTTGAGAAATTCCAGAAACTTCTGTTTTGATAAGTATTTTCCTATTAAAAATACATAACATAGCTATAACTATCATTAATAAATGTATTGCAAAACCAAGACCTAGGTTTTAGGTTTCAGTAAGGAACTTAGGTTTTGGTACAGTATGAATCATAGTAGCTACAGCTTAATTTGAAAATTTCTCCTTCCAGATAGAAGGAATACCTCTGAGTCTTGCTTTTAATATGATCTTTATCTATCTGCAATATGTAAGTCCGTAGTAATTCAAATTCCCATTTTTGTAGGAATGGGTAAACCTAAAGATACAGGCTTATCTCTGAACAGCATTGCTGAGAAATCATTCATGCATAGCAACCCTGCCTTTTAATACTCTTCTGTCTCTGACCATGATAGTATTCAGTGAGCAACAGACCCTGTGGGTTTGTCTCTAGTAAATATTGGAATAAGAAAAGATAATCTTCCAAAATATCAATGATAAATAATGTCCAAATAATTTCATGATGTATTTTGCTAGTGTGATTACACCTTTAAGGGGACCTGATTTTTTTTCTTTATATATTAGTTTTGCATATGGCAAAGGACTGATCTCTTTCAGGATTGAAATACATCTTTACCATTTCATTAGACTGATAACACAAAGTTCAAGTACAGGTGTATTGTCCCATGGCAGCCTTGATATTTGTATCCTGTTCAGTTGCTACGTGGTGAAAAGTAAAAAAAAGCAAGTACAATACGCAAGATAATCACTTGCTGTGTAACTGATGTGCTGAGGAAACTTTGTAAATAACCAAACTAAAGTTTTATTTATGAACACCCCACATAATGAGGAGAAACAACATGACTGTTGTGACATTACCCAACCTTTGTAAGTAGTTCCTACTGCAGAATATTTGAGTTGCACCAAGTCTAAAGACTGAACTTACCTTGGATGATTGAGTGATGTGAGAAATGTAGACTGGTCTCTCTGTGTCTGACCAGGTTAATAAAGGGTTGTAAGGAAACAAGGACAAAAATTTGAGCTTATGTATGCTTTTATTTTCTTATTACTATCTCCAATACTGAGAGTGTGACATAGGTACTCAGTTTACAGTAATTTTACAATTTAACTGCTTTTCCATTATTATTTCTGGATATACACTTCTCTGTCATCTTTCAGATGCCTAAAAAAGCCAAATGCAATAGTATGCGTTGTCTAATAATATTTATGTGCTCAGAAACAATTTCATATCAAATTAATTAATTTATTTGATATAACATTTGATCCACAACTTTGAAACCTCATTTGCTCCCATTTGTATTTGTCATAACAAGCATAGAAAAAAAATTTTAACTATTTCCACAATGCCTAGTTAAAATGACATTTAAATATTCTTTCCTTCTATGTCAAGGTCCTTAGAAGTGGATATACAGAGTCTCCTGTAGAGTTATTTATTTCTACACACACACTAAAAAAGAGTTTTTATGGTTTCAGTGAGACTGAACCCTGTAAGGACAATATTCCAGAAAAAGGCAGGTGGTTTTTTTTTTTCCAGTCAGCTAAGTCAAACACACTGAAAAACAAGCAAGCAAAAAGTGAATACTCCCAACTATTTTTCTGACCAGTAAAATGTAGCTTATAAGAAGTTTGTCTCTCACTACTGCTCTCAGAGCTGCTGTTCCTCTCAACGGCAACTGTAAAATGTGGGGCCACAGTTGCATTCATTGTTCAGTGAGCTTGTCCACAAAGTTAAACCCACCGACAGCAATGAATGTTGATTGTGACCTTTTTTTTTTTTTGTAAAGCTTGGCAGGGTGGGGGAGAAACATCATGTGATGGTTAGGTTGCTATCTTCGGTGTTAAGGCCTGAAAGCATGAAGTAAGGAGGAGGATGGTTAGCTGGAGGGTACAATCAACGGTCGATGGTTTTCACTTTAATTCCAAACTCACCGACAGCGTTGAATGTTCACTGAAGCAACCACTACAACAGAACTCCATTGACTTGACCGCATCCTCAAAGGTCTGAAAGGAGGGGGGAAAATCAAAATTCACACAGTGATTTTAATCGTACAGGTGATGCAACTTCAATCGTTTTTCTCTTACCAACACCAACACCCTTCTCTGCCCATCGTATTTCAGTCTTTTGTGCACGGAGCTGGCAGTTTCCCAAACTTCTCTCTACGGAAAGAAAAGATATTTCACTTATTTAGGCTTTAATAATAAAGGTTGGCAATGCAGGCACAAGTGGATTACTTTTGTCTGTTATTCCCTGAGACTGAACTTCATAGCAAAATGAAACACAAGATCTCATATATGAACAGAGCTGGTTAAGAGTGTTATTCAGTGTTACCAATTAGAGATTGCCCAACTGAGCAAAATTTCTTTTGCTGACATGGTTCAATTGGATTTCAACTTGCTTAGGATTGATGAAAAATATATTTTCTTTAAAGGAGGCTTAGTTTCTCAATAAACATCTTACAGAACAGAAGGCCTTTCTTCCTTACAAATTGTCACACATGCAGAACCTGTTATGATATTTTTCAGGAGAAAAAAGTAGTGAATTTAGGCTTAACCTAAATTTATTTTCATGTATTTTTTTAGGTGGTGGCATGCTGTGCATATCCAGTACTACTCATCACACAGTAAAGTCCTTATTCTTAAAAATTTCCACAGTAACATAATATTTTTTCCTAATCAATTGTCTTAGTTATTAATAAAAATAAATAATAATTTAGGAAAGTGGGGTTGTAGTCTTTGTGTTGTAGAAGGGTTTTAGAGACTGGATCAGAAGGTAAAACAAGATAATGTAGGAATTTTACCTTATTTGCATTTGGGAGCAGAGTTCTTCTGCAGAAGGTGTTCTCGATGCTCAGCTGGTCAGAATTCGTTTTTGCTAGGTCTGCTCTTGCTGTGCTGAAACTGTGAGTGATTCATTGAATTCTCTGAATTGCTGTTTACCTTATCTTTCGGTAAAAGATGCTCTATACTCTCTCGTCAATCTCTGATTATTTATAAGTCTCTATGAATGTTGTGGGGTTTGTTTCTACTTTTGTAAAGGGAACCTGCACCAAAAGACTGCAGCTCATAGGCACGGTACCTGTGTTGATTGTGTAAACAAACACCATGACAAGGACTTTGTCCTGTTTCTTTCAACTAATTGCTCTGCAGGTAGAGGTATTCACTACATCATCAAACAAAACTGTATTTTTATCTAATATTACTGAAGGACAAAGTCGTTAATATAGTATATTGGAGAACTAGACAAGAGTGGAATCCACTGATTTTCTTCTTTATGGTAGATTAGATGTATTTTGTTTAGGAAGGTCACTGTGGTTAGGAATATATCTGAATTCTAATCAAATGTGGCAGTGCCTCTTTCTTTCCTGATACAATTGTATAGAATGTTTGCTGCTAGTAGTTTAGCTTTGAAGTTTATTTTTCTGTTTCTTTGTAGTGGTTTTTCAAAGGTTTCGTTCCATGGATATTACGAGAAGACTTCTGTACAGCAGCATGAGTGATGAGAGAAGAAGGCTCTCCAACTCAGTCTTTTGTGCATCTGCATCTGTTCAACATTGTTCTAGCCAAATGAACTGACTTTATGGTTTAGGGTTGCTCATGTTTCAGATCCACCCTATTATGAACTTGCTTTTTGTACGTCATTTCTTTCAGTACTTATTCCTATGCTCATATTCCCTGCTTCCATCTGTCACTTCATATTTCAATATGGGGTCTTGCCTGGCTGGTATCTGATAATCAGGATGGAGGGCAGGAGAGGAAGAGGAGCTACATAGAGCTTGTGGCTGGGTGGATTGCATCTTAGAAGGAATTACTTTCACAGGTTATTATTAATGCCTCACACCCCCTATAATGGAAAAACCTCAGGATTTCCTTGGTTATCTAGCCTCTGAAATGGGCTGAAACTGAGTATAAAAAGTATTCCTGGGTTCCAACCCTAATTCCTGGTGTGTGTAGGTTATGCAGGGTAAATATGCTGTCATCATCTCTCATCTGGTTTTCTTTTTTTTTTTTTTTTTTTTTTTTAATCCCTTACCAGGCTTAGCTAGCTGTTACAAATGCCAGCTTTATTTTAAATTTTATTTCAGATCCACAAGCTTATGTGAACATTCAGACTGGATGTATGTTGGGGTTTTTTTATTATTATTTAAGGTTAGTAGGTCATAAATAAACCAAAACACTTTCCTTGCTACGAGCAATAGGGTCATGGTGTACATGAAATATCACTTTAAAACAATTGGAACCTAACGTGAATTGACAGAGGTACATGAGGAAGTAGTTCATCGTGTGGCTGCAAAGGCCATGGGGATTTGGACTGCTAGAGCTGCCAGTCTTAGGAATAGATTAGATATCTTGTCTGATGACCTGTACTTAATTTAAGTGACTGCCTTTGCAAGTCCTTCCAGAGGGCAACTGTGTGAAGTAGAGCATCTCATCTTCAGTCTTTAGTCCTCTTCCTCCTCTTCATGGCCTGACCTAAATTGAAGATATGGGTGTTGTGCTGCACAAACAGACAATTACTTCAATGCTATTTGAACTGCATCTTTGGTTCTAATTAGTCACCTTTTCTGTTTTGACCTTGATATCTTGCTTTAAAAGACCAGTGTTCCACCACTGTACTGGTTAATACTGGCAGCTGTAGCACAGTGCACTCGTGTTTAACAACAGCCTTATGTAGAACAGGAGCAAAAGCTTCCTCTCCCTGCTCAGAAATGGTGGAGCTGCCAAAAACTGCTCTGCCCTGCTTATTGCCCCGCCTTTCCCTTTCTTCCTTCTCTCTCCCCACATAGAAATGCTAGATGGAATAGGAATGATAGCTGTCAGCCAGATAGAAGTCTGGCTTGCAGGCTACTTCAAACAGATGTCTTAGAATTTTACCAGTCCTACTGCCTGTACAGAAGGGAGTTTTCTTAGGAACAAATACACAGATCTCAAGCCTGGGGCTCTTGCAGTTTTAGGTACTTTTTCTAATGATGCATTAGAACAATCTATCCAGATTGTATCCTGCTTAACATAGGATGTTAACATATTTATGAGACATATTCTGCACAGTTTACAGAATCATTTTTCTTTTGATGACATTTAGTTCTTACTGAAAGGTAGAATTCAGATTTTTTTGAAGAAAAATATCCTTTTGTATAAAAGGAAGACAACAGAACAGGGTTAATACTGATACTGGAAAGTTATCTCATCAATACAGTTGTTGGCTACTTTCACCTCCTGCTTGCCCTCTCCCACAGTCTGTCAACAGATTTCCAGCTATACTCTTGGGGACAGGAAGAAATGCAATATGTGGATGTATTTTTTTAAAATTGTCTTGCAAAAGTGAATTCCAGTGGTAGCATCTAAAAGTGGCACTAGCACACTTGGGATCAGATTCTCAGCTAGTGTAAACTGACACAGCTCCATTGACGTCAGCGGCATCTGCGTTTACACCAGCTGACACCTGGATGCTCATCTGGAAAAAAAAGTGAGGTAGAATGATCAGTTATCAGTTCTTCAATTTTCTATTTTTTGTGTTGTGTTCATCTTTTTTATTAAACCTTTCTAAAATGACAAATTTTCATGTAGTATTGACATTTTACTCACAATAAATTAGCAGTAATACTAAATCTCTGAGTATTGACACTGCTGTGCTTCCACCAAAAGGAATTAAATCCAGCTGACTGTAGTTATTAGAAATTCAATTTATTCTTGTGTGACATTCAGTTATATGCTGAAAGTAAAAAATCTGTGCAGCTATCAAGAGGAAGTCCTTTCTCTGACAAAATGATAAGTGTTTGTTTCGTCTGTGGTCTTAAAAAGTGCGAGAAGAGAATGAAATAACTGTCACTGTAATCTAAGACTCACTGTATTCTGCAGACACTAACTGCAGTTGTTTCTGTAGTGTGTTGGAGTATATCATCAGCTCCTAATTACTGATGCAGTAAATCTAAGGTTAATGTTTTCCAAGAAATCCAACTAGACAATCACCGTGTTTTCATGTTGTCTTAAACCTATGGAAATATCTTTGTTAACCTCTACTGGGGAAAAAAAAAAAAGGTTTAGGGAGTATTTCACCATTTACTGGAGTACACCCATCCCTGGGGAAAAGCAACAGCTGCATAACATCTTGCAGGCATGCCATCCTGAGACAGGAGGAAAAACTGTGATTGCCTTGTTTAAATTCTGAATTCTACAAGGCTGCTTATTTTATATTATGATATGAAGAAATCTAAAGCTATGCAGAATCATCCTGGTTCATGCTCATAGAATAAGAGGGTGGAAAATATCTTGGCCCACCAAAAAAACACTTTGAGACGAAATAATATCCCCAAGACTGTTTTTTAAATTAAGTCAAAACTTGTTTGATGTGGATAGCCATCACAGAGCAATCTGAACTCACTGAGTCCTATCAGAGTTCTGCTGGCCTAGACACAATGACATCTACAAATATGCTACTTCACATGTTTGTAGCCTTTGACTAAGTTTTGCTGTCCAAAAATTGACTGTGCTCTTGAAATTGAACCCATCAGCTAATATTACATGTCTACAACACTGGCTATGAGGTGGGATACTGATTAGCCAAGCTAATTTAGGAACAGAACAAATGTGAGGAGCAGCAATGATGTTAGTTCAATCAAATATTTGATTGCACTTCCAGAAATAATTTAATTGCAGAGCTCAAAACTGTACTTTGCCCATTAGAATTTTACCTGATTAGTATTGTGTTAAATGTTGATAGTAAAGACCCTTCCAACCCCAAATTTAATGTAAAAATACCCAAGGCAATATTGGCTTTTTGCATAGTGCTTTAGATTTATTGTGCTTCAATCAATATAAATTGTTACTCTTATTTAACAAATCATAGTTGTGCTCATGTTCTAAACAGACTTTTATATCTGACCTATTGAGCCTGAATGCAATTTATTACTTCATGTTGTTAGTCCTTTGTGAAACTGTAAGAGCTTTTCCAACCTATGAGATTGGGATCCTGGCTCTATAGGCTTTGCTTTTTATTTAAAGCCAAGAAATTGGTAAATAAATTGTAATACTGCCTGTATTTTCCCAGCCTTTTGGATCACAGTTCCCCACTCTTTGTTACTGGAACACATTGCTATTTATGGAAGATACGCACATATTTCAGTGTCCATAAATCAGATGCAAACATCTGCTCTTTAGATCAGTAGATGGAGTGTGGTAACTGCTTCTTACACTAATATCCATCAAGTAATGCTCACCTACTGATGTTAGGCCTAAACTTCAATATTTTAGCAAATATTTCAGTAGTTTAACTTTCCAGGCAATGTAAGTCAAGACAGTAGAAATTGTGAGCACAGTCTGGCACAGAGTTCTGTGGGGCCTGTACCTGAAAAATGTCAAGTGAAAGTTGTAAGACAGAGGGGGGAAACATTAATAGCAACAACCTGACTAAAACAGAAGAGGTTCTGTAAGTGATTCTCTCCACTCATTACTGCCTTTGAAGGGAATTTCTTTCCCTCCCTCTTCCTGTGATAGCTTTAAACAGGCATCCTTTTCCTATTTGATGAGTCTGGATGATGTGTAGTATTCTACCTTTTCGTCTTAGTGGTCTGATCTATTTCCCATGTGATCCTGCAGAGAAGATTCCAAGGCCAATAATTATGAAACTGCACTCTGAGAACACATGGTATCTGTGGAAACCAAGACTGTGTGCAAGTTAAAATGTGAGAGGAGGGAAAGACAATGTTGTGTGGTAGGATGGGCAGTGGATGGAAAAGCAGAGGATAAGTTTTTTTATTCTGTCTTCAATCTCAGTGCTAGTATTTTTATATAATATGGTTTCAGCTGTGAAGGGAAGAATCTTCAGGATATGTCCTGTTTAGCATTTATGTCAAGCCTTTATTTAGTTGTGACATGTACTGTGGATTCACTGGTTGATTTGCAATATCTTTGTATTCTTTTTATGGGAATGGAGACTTGATATTTGGGGGCTACAGTTGTGAATGTCAGCATAGAAACTGAATTTTCATAGGAAGAAAGTACATATAAATATGGAGAGTAAAAATGTCTATATTTCTAAAGTTATTGAGTCCTTTTTTAGTCAACTGTAAGACAATAGACTGTAGCTGTCTACCTGCAGAAAATGGACTGATTGATTTTTAAGTTGCCTACAAATCCTCTTGGTTTAAAAAACCCCAAACTGATTCAGAATGAATTTGGAACACCACTTTAGGATTTCTGGTGTATTTCAGTACTGTTTGCATGTTGTCTTTTAGGTTCTTCACAATGATGATAAGGAACAGATAAATTCAGAAAAACACTCTTGGGGGCTTTTAAAATCTTCTGTTTAATTTGTGCTCTTGATTTTTTTGTTTTGTTTTGTTTTTTTAACCAGAAGGTACTGAGTGCAGGTTTGCTTAAGAGATCCTCCATGTGTCCATATCTCGCTGCCAGAGCAAATGGCTTTAATATCCCATCCCCCCTCTTCGTTCTGCGTTGCCATAGGAATGGTCTGCGAGAATTACCAAATTCAAATAATTGTGGTCCTGCAGCACAAAGTTTCTTTTGATCAAGAGCAAGTCATTTGAACCCTGATGTTTAGTGGGTAATACTTACAGCCTCATAAAAGTGTAGTGATGGCTGATATCTCATAGTGCTTTGAACATGTGAAGTGCTATATAAACAATATAGGGCTATTGCACACAACTCGAGCTATTAGCATCTGAGGCACAGTGCCCCAGGCCCTTGGAGGGAAAGTCACGTCTTCACTGGAAAAGAGGCACCTTTTTGAGTCCTGTCTGCTTCCAGGTTAGGTATCAGGAACTTTCTAGGTAGCAGATAGATAGGAAAAAGCACGTTTTTTTCAAATACCGTGTTTATTACACTGCACTGGAGACTCACTAAAGGCAGGCAGCATTCAGTAAGAAAACGTGAGGATGGTAAATGATCCCCTGCTTGCATGATCTTCCTTTCCTGTAATTGCATTTTGGAGTTCCTGCATTTTGAGAAATATCTGTATGCAAATCTATTTTTTGCTAATATACTTGGTATTTTTCATGTGTAATTTGAAACAGATGAGAGGTTATAGCTTAATTTTTTTTTCTATACCTCACAGAATTTAGACCACAAATGCAATTCAAGAGTATGTCGAACACTCTGTGAGTGTCTATGTGTAAATGGTGGTGAAATCTTGTTCTTAAGACAACAATACAAGCTAAGAAAATGCTTGTAGAGGGGCACTTGCTAAACAGCTGATCTAGCACCTGTCTATTAAAGCTGAAGGTACTGCTCAGATGAGAACAAAGTTTTCATAGGATTGATGTAATTGCCTGATTTGCCCTGTTTTTCCTCTTTCACACATTTTGCATGCTCTGATAAATAAGAGCTACTGCTTGGGACCCACAAGAAGTGCCTGTCTTGCAATCACCACAATATGAAGTCTGGGGTAGGAGAAAGGCTCATGGCTATCTCCAGGGAGAAGAGGAAATTCCTTGAAATCTTTTTATGCCCGTCATTGCTCCAGTTTAAAAGCAAAACAGTTCTTGGTCCAGGGTTGGCAAAACATTCTTTTTGCCTTTTGATGGTGAAACGTCTTTTCAACAGCAGAGACTATTTTAAAGAATTGCATTTTTTCTCCTTGCTTGTTGTGTGGTTTTCTAATATCTTGAGCTAAGCTTTTAGGCATGTTAAATGATGTAAACAAGTTTTGGATTTTTGTTACTGTTATCTAGGAACAGCCATTCAAAACAAATATGCTATTGACACAGCTCTAAAAAGCTCTGAACACAGAATAAGCTCAGACTTTGAAGGACTGGGCACACAGTTTAAATATTTAGCATAGCAAAACCCATTGCAGTACAATTGCTTGTACAGGATCCAATGGTTTTCAGCACAAATGCAAAGCATGTATTCAGGGAGCAAATGCCTGGTTAGTTTACTGTTTTCTGGTGGCTCTTTTTAAACAAGATAAACACACACACACAAACTGCTTATTTTCTGCTCTGGTAAAGGTATTTTTAAGTAATAACTATTCTTCTAAAGAAAAATAATCCACAGTAAATAGATGCAACATTACCAGATCTGTTCTAAAGGCCTTATCTTTATTATTGAAAAATAGTGCACCCTTTAGTGGTTCATAATCTGTCTGTTTTTGTGTCTTCCTCTACATCCTCCTCCTTGTCCTTGTTGAGCTCAGCTGCCCTTTGAAAAGCTTTGTGCTCCAGTGACCACTTTAAACTTTCTATTGACAAAATAAAGCTGGACTCCTAATTCACTTTTCCAACAGAAGGTGCGAGTTGAAAGTGGTCATTGGCCCAAAAACCTGTGGTGATAGCAAAGATGATTTTACTGGGAAGGGGGAGGTGATGTCCGGTCGTCTTTTCCTCTGTCCTTCAATCTCCTTCTCCTGCTCCTTTCTTATAAAGCTCTTGCTTCCTCCAACCTCCCAGAGTCCCAAGTAAACTGCAGTTCCTACACCTCTTCCTGAAGTTTCCTCTT